ATTCCTGCTCCCTGGGTGAGCTGGGAAGCATGGGAAGTTCCTTTGATGCCAGCTGTGGCATGTTGATGGCTCTTGTCTCCGGGGCTGTCAGGCATCACACCTTCTGCTGAAGCCCCTGCCAGAGTGATCTGCCAGTGCTGTGGGGATGCTAAGCCACAGCCCCAGCTGCCCATGGTGGGTGATACCAAGCTTGGATTCTATACTCACTTTCTCTCTTCTCCTGAGCAGCATGAGATGTGTTCAGTCAGGTTCCTCTGAGTTCAGGAGGAAAATATTTGTGGCAAAAAAAGCCCCCAAACAAACCAAGGAGGCAGAACCACTTGCACAGTGCTTGGCTGCTGCTCCATCCTCATTAGGTAGTGCTTGCCTCCTGCCCAGCAAAATATATTCTACTCTGGGTCTGAATCTGCAACCCCAAGCTCCCCAGGTCACATGTGGTGTCTGCCTGGCAGCTGTTCAAATTGTGAGAAAGGTTGGTGGCAGGGGGAGAAAAAAAAGCAGCACTGATAACTCCAAGGCCATCCCAGTTTCCCTGCAGCAGAGGGCTGGCCACTGTGCAGCGCATCAAGGACTTGGGGAGTCTAACAAGACCTGTCCTGGCTTGCTGGTGGGCAGGGGGCAGGCATGAGTGAGCCTCCTGCACCTCTGTCTGCTTCCTCCGGCCTTGGAACAGCTGCTTTGTAACACAGAAATGTTCCTGCTCTTTTAATGGCCCTTCTAGGAGATGGTTTCTAAGGGTAAGTGCTGCAAAACCAGCACTGCAGCTTGGGAGGGGAGGAAATGACATGGGGAAAGTGGTGGTGGTGTGTGGAACCCCTGTGAAGCACTGGGCATCTTGGAGACCCAGAGAGCTTCTGGCCCCTTGTGCAGCCCAGCCACTGTCTAGGCCCCTGGGACCTGCTGGAGCCCCCACGGCTGCTGGCAAGCCCCTGGGGCTGGGACTGATCTAGCTCTCCTGTCGAGCACAAGGGTCAGGTACAGGGAGTTGGTGGAAATCTGGACAAAAAGTGAGGCATTGGGTGCAAGCACAAAGTGATGCTGTGGATACTGTGATGGTTGAGGTGTGCAGGAGGGGCCCAGCACCGTGATCCAGCTGGGATCCCTCATCTAACATCCTCAGATGGCTGCTGCTCTTCAAGTAGGCTCTGGTGTCTGTGTCAGCCCAAGCCAGACCCCCTGAGCCTGCTCCTCCATGCTACAGTCTGACACCACTTCACCCCTCAGCATCGCCTCTGTTGCAGCCTGTTAGAAGAGGAGGGGGCAATATCCCACCCCATTTTCATGATTAGCTTCCATTCAGGTGGTACCTTCCCATCCCAGCAACCTGCTCCCATCCCAGGAGAGATCCCCAACACCCCAGGGAAGGGAGGACGTGGTTTTGGGATACTCTTTAGCTGAGGTCTCCATGAATAAGGCACCTGGATGTTTCCATAGAATGCAGTGATGGTTTAGATGAATTGGCTGGGTCCAGTTATGTACCTTAGATTGGTGTCAGCCATGCGTGTGTGCACCAGGCTGGCTGGTGAAGTCTTCAGAGAGCTGTTAGAGAAATGAGAAGCTGAGCTTTGATCTGCCTCTGTATTCGGTGTTTAAAACAAGGCCTTTTATAGGGGAGTATTAGGTATTC